AAAAATCAATGAAACCAAGAGCTGGTTCTTTGAAAAGATAAAAAAACTGACAAACTTTTAGCTAGACTCATCAAGAAAAAAGAGAGAAGGCTCAAATAAATAAAATCAGAAATGAAAGAGGCGAAATTACAATGGACACTTCAGAAATACAACAGATCATAAGAGAATACTATGAGAAGCTATACACCAACAAATTGGATAATCTAGAAGAAATGGATAAATTCTTAGAATCATACAACCTTCCAAAACTGAATCAAGAAGAAATAGAGAATTTGAATAGACCAATCACCAGTAAGGATACTGAAACAATAATCAAAAACCTCCTCCCAAATAAGTCCAAGACTAGACAGCTTCCCTGGTGAATTCTACCAAACATTTAAAGAAGACTTAAGACCTATCCTTCTCAAACTCTTCCAAAAAATTGAAGAGTAGGGGAAGCTTCTGAGCTCATTCTACAAAGCCAGCATTACTCTGATACCAAAACTAACCAAGGGCAACACAAAGAAAGAAAATTACAGGCCAAGATCTCTTATGGACACGGATGCAAAAATCCTCAACAAAATACTAACAAATGGAATAAAAAAAATAAGTTAAAAAAGATCATACACCATAATTAAGTAGGATTTATTCTGGGGATGCAAGGATGGTCCAACACCCACATATCAAGCAGCATAATACACAACATTAACAAAATGAAGAATAAAAATCACATGATCCTCTCAATAGATACAGAGAAAGCTTTTGACAAGATACAGCATCCATTTATGATAAAAACTGTGAATCAAATGAGCATAGAAGGAAAGTACCTCAACATAATAAAGACCATATATGACAAACCCACAGCTAATATCATTCTCAATGGAGAAAAACTGAAAGTTATCCCTCTAAGAACAGGAACCAGACAAGGTTGCCCACTGTCACCACTCTTATTTAACATAGTATTGGAAGTCTGAGCCAGAGTAATCAGGCAAGAAAAAGAAATAAAAGGGATCCAAATTAGAAAGAAAGAAGTGAAACTGTTACTATTTGCAGATGACATGATTTTACATATAGAAAACCCTAAATAATCCACCAAAAATCTTTTAGAAATAATAAATTAATACAGTAAAGTTGCAGGATACAAAATCAAGATAAAAAAATCACTTGCATTTCTATACACTAACAATGAATTATAAGAAAGAGAAATTAAGAATACAATCCCATTTACAATTGCGACAAAAAGAACAAAATGCCTAGGAATAAACTTAGCCAAAGAGGTGAAAGATCTATACACTGAAAACTATAAAACATTGTTGAAAGAAATTGAGGAAGACACAAAGAAATGGAAAGATATTCTGTGTTCTTGGACTGGAAGAACTATCATAGTTAAAAATGCCCATACTTCCTAAAGCAATCTACAGATTCAATGAAATCTACAGGTTCAATACAATCTGTATCAAAGTTCCAGCAACGTTTTTCACAGAAATAGAATAAAGAATCTTAAAATTTATATGGAAAAACAAAAGACCCTGAATAGCCAAAGCAATCCTGAGAAAAAAGACCAAAGCTGGAGGCATCAACCTCCCTGATTTCAAAATATACTACAAAGCTATAGTAAGCAAAACAGCATGGTACTGGCACAAAAACAGACACACAGATTAATGGAACAGAATCGAAAGCCCAGAAATAAACTCACACATCTATGGACAGCTAATTTTCGACAAAGGAGCCAAGAATATACAATGGAGAAAGGAAAGTCTCTTCGATAGATGGTGTTGGGAAAACTGGACAGCCACATGTAAAAGAATGAAAGCAGACCATTATCTTTCAGCATGCACAAAAATCAACTCAAAATGGATTAAAGACTTGAGTGTAAGACCAGAAATCATAGAAACTCTAGATGAAAACATCGGCAGTATGCTCTTCAATATCAGTCTAAGCAGCATATTTTCAAGTACCACGTCTGACCAGGCAAGGGAAACAATAGGAAAAAGCAAATGGGACTACATCAAACTAAAAAGCTTCTGCACAGTGAAGGAAACCATCAACAAAATGAAAAGACAGCCTAACAATTGGGAGAAGATATTTGCAAAACAGATATCTGATAAGGGGTTAATATCCAAAACATATAAAGAACTCATATACCTCAACAACAAAAAAACTAACAACCCAGTTAAGAAATGGGCAAAAGATCTGAACAGATATTTCTATAAAGATATACAGATGGCCAACAGGCACATGAGAAGATGTTCAACATCACTAACTCTCAGGGAAATGCAAATCAAAACTACAATGAGATATCACCTTTCTCCGGTCAGAATGGCTATAATTAACAAGACAGGGAATAGCAAGTGTTGGAGAGGATGTGGAGAAAAGGGAACTCTCATACACTGCTGGCGGGAGTGCACACTGGTGCAGCCATTATGGAAAACAGTATGGAGATTCCTCAAAAATCTAAGAGTAGAACTACCATATGATCCAGTTATTTCACTGCTGAGTATTTACCTAAAGAACATGAAAACATGAATGCGTAAAGATAACATGCACCCCTATGTTCATTGCAGCATTATTCACAACAGACAAGACTTGCAAGTAACCTCAGTGCCCATCAACGGATAAATGGATAAAGAAGACGTGGTACGTATACAGAATGGAATACTACTCAGCCATAAAAAACCATGAAATCCAGTCATTTGTGACAACATGGATGGACCTTGAGGGTATTATGCTAAGTGAAATAAGTCAGAGGGAGAAAATCAAATACCGTATGATCTCACTCATAAATAGAAGGTAAAACAACAACAAACAATCTCATAGAGACAGAGATTGGATTGGTGGTTACCAGAGAAGCAGGGAGGAAGGAGGGCAAAAGGGGTGATTAGGCACATGTATGTGGTGATGGACTGTAGTTAGTCTCTGGGTGGTGAACATGATGTAATCTACACAGAAACTGGAATATAATGATATACACCTGAAATTTATATGATGTTATAAACCAATGTTATCACAATAAAAAAAAGATTTAGGGGTGAGGAAAGAGAAGATGCTACCATTATAAACTAGTCTCTCCTAAACAGCAGCCTTACTCTCTCTTATCACGAGGCAGATTGGGGGGAGGTGTGTGTGGGGTCAATGTTTATGGAACTTATCTGTGGAAACAGCACCTCTCAGCAAGCCCTGCCCCCACTGGCAGCCCCCACAGTGGTGGGTCTTTGACTTAGCATCATTTTTTATGAGCTTGACCCTACTTGGCAATCCTTGGAAAACAGGAAATACCCCACATGGTTCCTTCACCATGTCCTTCATTGCCTTGCTCAATCTAGCCCCTGCCTACCTCTCTGATATGTCTTACCAGCCCCCTTGCTCACTTTGCTCCAGCATATAAGCCTTCTCTCTTGGCTTAGGGTCTTTGTACTTGCTCCTCCCTCTGCCTGGGACATTTTTCTCCCAGATCTTTGCACGGCTTGCTCCTTCTTTACACTCAAGTTCCAGTTCAGATGCTCCCTCTCCAGAAAGGACTTCCTTCAGTCCTCTTCAGCCTAAGCTAGGCCCAATCCCCTCCCCTGCACTCTCATCACATCACAGTTTTATTAGCTTCATAGCATGTACCAGTCTCTGAAATTATTTTGTTCACCCATTTGTTTGTCATTTCTTATCTGCCTCCCGAACTAGAATGCAAGCTCTATAAGAGTGAGGAAATATGGGGTCTTGTGCTGTGATATCCCCAGCAATTAGAACAGTCCTCAGCAAGTCATTGGTTCTCAATGAGGGAGTGTTGAGTGGAGCACCTGATTATTCTTCTAGCCACCCTATGACAGAGAAGCAGACTGTACCCCACTGTACAGATGAACTTTGGAGAGGCTGAATCACTTGTCCAATGAGTGAACAGGAAGAGCAGAGATGTGAATCCAAGTGACTCTAATTCCAAATTCCATGCCCGTAAACCAGGATCTATTCCTGGATATGATATGGCGGTCTTTAAAACTACAGAGAGAATAATGATGAACATAGGGGTGCATATATCTTTTTGAAGTATTGATTTCATGTTCTTTGGATAAATATCCAGTAGTGGAATAGCTGGATCATATGGTATTTCTACTTTTAATTTTTTGAGAAATCTCCATACTGTTTTCTGTAGTGGCTGCACCAGTTTGCAGTTCCCACCAGCAGTGTATGACAGTTCCCTCTCCAATACTTGTTATTTCTTGTTTTGTTAATTATGTTCACAATAACCAAGACATGGAAGCAAACCAAGTGCCCATCAATGGAAGAGTGGATAAGGAATATGTGGTATATATATATTATGTGGTATATATTATATATATGTATATATATAATATTATATATACATATACATTGTGTATATATATATATACATATATACACAATGGAATACTACTCAGCCATAAAAAAGATAAAATTGTGTTATTTGCAACAATATGCATGGACATTGATGGTATTGTGCTAAGCAAAATAAGTCAGAGAAATACTGTATCATTTCACTCATATGTGGAAAATAAACAAACAAACACAGAGATAAGAAGAACAGATTAGTGGTTACCAGTAGGGAAGGGGGTGGGGAGGGGGTGAAAGGGGTAAAGGGGCACAGATGGATGATGACAGATAAAAACTAGACTATTGCTGGTGAACACAGTGCAGTATATACAGAAACTGAAATACAATGATGTACACCTGATATTTACACAGTTATAAGTCAACATGATCTCAATAAAATAATTTTTTAAAACGGCAGCTAGAAAGGTACTGAATGTCCTGGGTGAATCCACAGCCCTCCAGTTCTATTTCAAATAGTCTTGTTGATGTTCCAGTGTCAATATAGAATCTCTTCTCATTGGTGTTCAATCTCACTGTGGAATCATTAGTTTTTATCTCTCAAATGTTACTCAGGAATTAATGAAAAATAAAAATGATTCAGATCTGGGGGAAAAAAAAAAAAACTACAGAGAGACTGAAAAATCCAAGAACGATTTTGAACTTCAGCAACAGACACCACTTCTCACCTTGTGTAGGTCCTTCACCCTTGGAGGTAAACTGTCCCGGATCCTCCGCATCGCCTGGAGGGGAGGCTCGTTGAAGTAGGGGGGCTCGCCATCGATCATTTCTATCACCATGATCCCGAGGGACCAGATGTCCACCTGTCAGGCACAGCCCACTGGTTATCTCAGGCAAGGAGGACATTCTGAAATGGGGGACGTGTCCAGGGAACCCAGAAGGTTCATACTCATTCATAAATTAACGTGGTATTTGTAACCCCTCAAAATTTACAATACAAATTTATAGGTTCAACTGAGGAGTTACCGAGTGTTTGCTAACGGTCTTCATTTACTTTATAAGACAACTTCAATGAAGGTCCCGACAATTAGATATAGGTGAATACCTTAACATTCTAAAGTTTACAGCTTTTAGTTTTAACCCTGTTAACTTTGGTGGTTAACTGTCTATCAGGGCAGATGAGAAAAACATCCAAAGCTTAATGTTATGAACATAGGGAAAAAAGTTGCATTTAAACCATAATAAAATAGAAAAGTTTTTGACATCTTCATAAGAAACTGCAAAGAGCTACATTGCACAATGCAGAGTATATTCTGATTTTTTATTAATTTCATTTTTAAAAACAATTATACCCCCCCTGCTTTGCAGTTCTTTCCTTTACGTTTAATCATTTTGAAGCAGCAAGCACAAAACCTTGCTTTATAAAAACCATTTTCAGGGAATAGAGAAAAGAAAAGGAAGAGATGACATGCAATTCTTTCTGAGCAAAGAACGGGAAGTCAGGACAATGAGAAGGCATCATTGTGCTATAAATTCCCAGTTACAGTCTCTTCCCTGGGATAGCCTCATTACACCTTTTATCAGTTAGCTGCATTCTGTTATTACCCTGGCAGTGACCTTCACCGAGAATTTATGCTCTTGGGACCACAGTGAGGAGAACAAGCTGAGTACTCACGCAAGGGCAAGCAAATGAGGGAAAGAGAACAGGGTCCACCTTAACTTATGCCAAGATGCTTAGCCCACTGGTCCATGCCACCTCTTGCATGCTTCTCTTAGAATTGCCTTCTGCACCATAACGTGTGGAAGCACTGTGCGCCCAGCCGAAGCGAACTCCTTGCCTTCATGTGTGTGTAGCCTTGCGTGCCTCCGCTTCTCCTCATGCTATTCCCTCCCAGAAGGGCTTTCCTCCACTCCTTCTGGTCCCTTATTTTCACACATCCAGACCTTATCTCTTAATAGATAATGAGTGACTGTTTCCTTTCCAGAGGAAACAGAAACTGCGCCATATTTTTAAATAGGTTATAATATTCCTACATAATTTTTTCTATGGGAAAACACTATTGCTCATCCAAATATTACCTCTTTTTGTGGAGCTTTCTCCGAGCCTCTATCTTTTGACTCATCACGCCTACTCATCTGTGCATCTCCGGCCAATTTTTAAGTTGCGTTGCTGTGCTTTGTGTGAGCCTGCTATTGAGGGTGGGATCAGAGTTTGAGTGACTCTCCCTCAGTGTCCATTGTAGGACCTCAATAAATGCTCCTGGATCAATGTTGCGGCAGTATCCTCAGTGACGGCCAGTCTCCTTTCTGCCACAACCTACTTTGTGACAAGTCTAGTGAAGAGGAGTCAAATGCAAAGTCAAAACTCATCAACCTGATCTCCGGTGGCAGTTAACTGTCTCAGAACCACTGCATCCCTGAGCCTGTTCAGGCTCTGCCACTCCCAAACAGTGACTGCCACCCCCTTACCTCTGTCCCATAAGGTAGCCTAGAAATCACCTCGGGTGCCATCCAGTAGGGAGTGCCAACCAACGATTTCCTCTTCGGCACCTCTTTGGAAACTTGAGCACAGAAACCAAAGTCAGACAGCTTTATCTGAAAGCAAAGGAACGCAAGAAGCTATTTTAAAATACTGGCTGCTAGACTTAGAAATAGAGAGAGAGTTGTAAATTCAGAACAAAACAGTCTCATTAGCAGGGCTTGGAAATACCGGAGGAGAGGTGGTCAGACCCTTTTATTCGAAAGCACGATTCATTTTAATGGAAAAACCTCTCACGGGTCCACCAGGGTTGACTTGAAATGTTTAAACTCCTGCTGCTGACATCTTCTATAAAATTATGAAACCAAAAACAGTTATAAATTAAATATACCCAAAACAACAAATTCATTAAAATTCAAACCCAGAAGCTTAATTTAATTTAATGTAACAGGTGAAGTTTTAGTCTAAGCAAATTGCTATTCTCAATGTGAGTTTTGTACAAACCCCTGCACTTCAGGTTCTTCTGCGTTGAATGCATTTAGATTTCTAAGTACCATGAGATCATTCAAATAACCAGCCTCATTTCTATATTTGAATTATTGCAAGATCTCATTTATACAGGATGCTGAGATATTGGGAGTACTGGCTCCCTTTTTCTTTTTGTTTTGCTCCTTTGCTCACGACAACTGAAGATGCCAATTGAACATCAATGCAAGTGGCATTACAGGCAAACAAACTGGGTGTTAGCACTTGGTTACCAGGGGTTTAAGGTGGTCATTCTAATGACCCAGTGTATGTATGTATATGCTATTTATCTTAGACGTCATCAAAAAGAAAAAAATTCTGAAAACTCCTACACAGAGCTTTTAAGAATACTCTTAAGAACACACTGCACCATTAGGCACCCTGCTGCTTTATATATTCCAGGTGACCAGGATTCAGTTTATATCTGGGAGGTGTGATTCCTGTTCATGATGACCTGGTCTGAACCTCAGGTGGCCTCACTGAAGAGGACTGCCACTTAGCTTTGTTGGTGATGATCAAATACATTCAAAGAAAGCAATTCTTTGGGCATTGGTTGGCAATGGTTCAGAATGGCCATCTGAAGTTAAAATTTCCATACATCAAAGGTACAGTCTCTCAGGCACAAATTCTCCCCTGGTTCTCTTCATATGCTCTGAACTTTTTTCAATCTTCTTCTCTGGCTCTACCTCTGCTGCCTACACTTTAAATATTCGTGCTTCTTACGGTGTGGGTTCCTACCCTCACCTCTTCTCTTTTTATATACTCTTGCTAGATATTCTTTTTTCTCTCTATGCTTAATTTAGACCTCTTTCCTTCATTCTAAACCTATACTTCCATCTAATATATTTTTCCACATGGAGTTAACTTTCATGAAGTGTGTAATGTCTGTGTCTAGATTCATTTTTGTGCATGTGGATATCTAGTTGTTCCAGCACCATTTGTTGAAAAGACCACCTTGGTCCATTGTATTGCCTTTACTCCCTTGTCAAAGATCAGCTGACTATATTCATGTGGGTCAATTTCTGGGCTCTCTATTCTATTCCATCAGTCTATTGGTCCACTCTTTTGCCAATACCACACTGTCTCAATTATTCTAGTTTTGTAGTAAGTCCTAAAGTCAGGTAGTGTAAGCCTCGCAATTTTGTTCTTCTTCAATATGTGTCAGCTGTTGTGTTGGTCTTTTGCCTCTCCATATGAACTTTAGAATCAATTTGTCAATATCCACAAAATAACTTGATGGGATTTTGAGTGGGATTGCATTGACTCTATAAATCATGTTGGGAAGAAATGACATCTTGACAATATTGAGTCTTCCTATCCATGTACATGGACTATCTCTCCATTTATTTCTTTGATTTCATTCATCAGAGTCTTGTAGTTTTCCTCATATTTTGTTAGATTTATATCTAAATATTTAACTTTTGGGGAGCTAAGGTAAATGGCATTGTGTTTTTAATTTCAAATGTCATTTGTTCACTGCTGGTATATAGGAAAGAGACTGGCTTCTGTATATTAAACATATATCCTGCAATCTTGCTATAATCACTTATTAGTTCTAGGAGTTTTTCTTGTCAATTCTTTTTGATTTTCTGCAAAGACAATCACGTCATCTGTGAAGAAAGACAGTTTTATTTCTTCCTTCCCAATCTGTACAGATTTTATTCCTTTTCTTGTCTTACTGCGTTAGCTAGCACTTCCAGTATGATGTTGAAAAGTAGTGAGAGTGGACATCTTTGCCTTTTTCCTAAACTTACTGGGAAAACATATTCAATTTTCAAGGCTACCTGATCACTTCTCACTTCCTCCAGAATTTTTCTCAGGAGCCCATACTCATCTCTCTCCTCTCCAAATTTGAGAGAATTTAGCACCCATTCAATCTTTAATTGTTTGCTGATGCTGATTTTGTCCCACTGGCTAGAAATGACATTCCCCAGGGGTAATTGTGAAGTCTCACTGTGTTAAGAGCAGGGAAAGCAGTAGTACTCAAAACCACATGCTAGTAGGTTGACTTTATTTTATATTGACACATACATAGATAGCAGATCATGTGATAGAAACCACATTGGTGCTCTTTCTGAAACCATCATCAACTTGCCAAGACAGCTGTTTCTAGAATCAAAGTTGGAATACACAGGAAATGGGGGTAATGTTTTGGAAATTATTAATGTGTTTTTTTCTTTTTTCATTTCCTTGTTCATGATTCTCTCTCTAATCAGGCCAAGGTTAGTGGTATGGTTTGGGATGGGAGGAGATTAGATTTCTGCAGGAGAAATGCTAGAGAAAGCTGGTTTAGAAGAGAGAATTTTCTTAATTGCTTTGGCATATCCAGAATCAAGATTAGATACCTCAGATCATAAAATTTCCATGTGGTATGAAGAAGAGAGCCCTGTGGCCACGGTAGCTGGTCCAAAATCATTGTTGTCCTATTGTAAAAGGAGTCTACAATTCAGAGAAGTGAAAATCCTACAGTCTACCCCTTTTAGCCTGGGATTATTTGCAGAAAAGGACACAGATTTGATTATTATTTGATTATGTCTGCCTCAACTGGTGGTGGGCTTCAGAAATATCAGAGTAGCACACATCCCCACACAAACAAGGGAGAAGAGAAGCCAGATACGTCTGTGTTCAGAGATAATATTAAAAATATTTAATAACCAGATTCATCTAGACCAATCAGAATCTAGATGTAAAGTTAAGAGCTATCCTAAAGTGATCCTGGGAGTATTACCATCTTTAATGAGGTTGGGAGGTGGCCCCCAGGCAGGGCTAAGGTAACGGAGGGTACTCCAATGACTTGAAACACTGGCTATTAACAAATAAGCATAAAAATACTGCAATCTTTTAACAATGGGTATAGATGTACTAGTGTATACTGGCTGAACATCAGCCTTGGCTATTCCCAGTATGGCCTCCATGGAGAGATGGCACAACAGAGTGGGTGAAAGTGAACTGGAGGCAATGCTACTGGCTTCCCTGGCCTTTGAGTGGTGTGCAGGGATCCAAAAGCTCCTCCAAATCTCAGTGGGGGAATGGGGGATACCTGCCACAAGCCCATGGTTGACATGAGGAGGCAGTCTCAAGGATGGCTTTCAAGACTTGAGGCAAGAGGCTGGAGTTGTGGAATACTGCAGAGGCACCCTCCTGAAAAGCCCAGAAGCTGATGGGACCTGTTAATCCCCAGTGGTCACCAGTCCAGGTAGCAGAAGAGACCAGTAATGCCAAGGCAGGGACCAGAGAGGAACAAGAAGATGGGTCTTATCTCTTTTACCCTGAGGTCCCATAAGCCGCATTTGTCCCTTCTTCTCTCAGACTCCATCTTGAGAAAGATGGTAGTGGAAGGTGGGAAGAGGAAGTAGGTGGTGGCCAAATCTGAAAGATGGAGGTTTTAAAGGTGTCACTTAAACCTTACAATAATGTGGTTGAACTTTGATAGACTATGTTTAAATTATGTAAGCAGACTAATGTAATAGATTGAATTAAAATAGAAGGTTTTTAAAAAAAATCTAGTCAGTAGAACTTTGTCAAGAAGTCCCGGTTAGTTTTAAGAGACAGAGAAACTATAATTGTGTGTGCACGGGTGTGTGTGGTTATTTCAAGTTCAAGTGTGAGTGAAATTGCAACCCTACTGTAAGGACGATAGAGAAGGAACAATTTTGAAAATAAATTTCATTTGCCTGTAAATTTAAGAAACCTGAATGATTATGGAGGTGAATGTATCAACATTTTGGTATTGGCAGTTTTTTTTTTTTTTTGAGGAAGATTAGCCCTGAGCTAGTATCTGCCGCCAATCCTCCTCTTTTTGCTGAGGAAGACTGGCCCTGAGCTAACATCCATGCTCATCTTCCTCTATTTTATATGTGGGATGCCTGCCACAGCATGGCTTGATAAGCGGTGTGTAGGTCAGCACCCGGGATCCAAACTGGCAAACCCTGGGCCGCCGAAGCAGAATGTGTGAACTTAGCTGCTGTGCCACCGGGCTGGCCCCTGGTATTGGGAGTTTTTAACATCAATATTTCTAGAATGGCTCCTTCCTTCCAGACATAAAACAAAAAGACCCCAAACCTGACTGACAAATAATTATCTCCCTGACAAAATGTAAGATGAGAAAGTGAAAAACTTGACACTTGGGAGCCAGGCCTGTTCTTCTGTTGCAGGAGTGTAAGTGCTTCTGCATGATTTTTTTACTCATCCAGGTATATAAAAGAGACATTTTCTAAAAGAATATAATTGCACACAACATTCATCCAAATAAATCTGCACGTAGATAATGAGAACTCAAGTAATGAGTATAATAACACATTGCAGGCAGATCTTAAAAGCAAATCACATAGACTCTAAGCCGAGCCTTATTTTAGATAGAATTACACAACATGGCTGTTTAGGAAACCATCTTCATCTCAAACGGCTAGCACACTGCCCGCCCCCTAAAAGGAGGAGATGTAGCTTGTTTCACAGGGGCCAGACAAGGAACTGGAGCTTAGAGCTCAGACAAAGCTGCTATTTAAACCTGAGATCCTATCCATCTCAGTGTGTCCTGTAAGGAATCAGGGGCTCCACAAAAACATAGGAGAAAGGGGGCAAAAGAGAGTCTCTCCACAAGATAGCCACGGATTTAAAATAGAATGTAAAACCCTCATTCTGTAAATTGCATACATTCTAAAAAATTCTTGCATTTGCTCCTGGTTTTTGCTAAGACAGAAAGATGGATGCTTTTGTGCCTGGTTCCTGGATGCTTCCTATAAGGTAATGGTAGTCAAAGCGTGTAGCATCAGCATCCCCTGGGAACTCATTAGAGATGCAGGTTCTTGGGTACCACCCAGCCCACCTGAACCAGAACCTCTGGGGGTGGGGCTGATAAATAAATAAAAAGCAATAGGTTATTAAGAGTATATAAGGAAGATATTTGGTTTAAAATTAATTCAGCCTGAGCTTTTTTTTTCCCCAAAAGGGCCTGATGTGGCCTGTTGAGCATGCATTGTATGTCAGCTTTAAATATTTACTGCGTCCCAAAGACAAGAATGATGCTCTTAAACATAGGGATGTAACTTCCCCTCATATCAGCAATTCCTTTAGGAGAAGCGTCTCTCCCTAAACTAAGGATTAATTACTGACCTGCCTGTGACCTTGTGACCACAGACCTGCTGTGTTCACTGATCTGCTGTGCCAGCAAAGCAATCTCGTGACTATTGTAAAAGGACATTCCTAGCATATGTGCTGTATGCTCTTTGTTCCATGACGGTATATAACCACAAAGAAGTACATCCTACTTCTTTGGTGCCCTTCCTTGGAGAAGGAAGGCCCTGGGCTAGTCCTCAGATCTGGCTCATAATAAACTCATCCAAATTTTGATTTGTAGATTGATTATGGATTATTTGTGTTGACAGGGCCCAGGAATTTTTTTTTTGTTTTGCCAATGTCTCCAGCAGTTTTGATGCTTGCTAAAGTTTGCAAATTTCTCTTTTAAGAAGAGCAATGACCTAGGGACAAGGGGACTGAGAGAGGTCATAGAAGGGACCAGAAGTGATGATAGTGCCTCCAGCTTAATGCCCATTTCTTCAGCTGCCAAATCCAAGAGGAGAGGGAAGACATCACAGGAGCTCAGCTGGAACAGCACAGAGACCTCAGCCAGCCCCTCGGCCATTTGACCGAGCGCAGAGAGCGGCAGGAATTTGCCCAAGACTGCTCGCCAGTATCTGAGGGAGACTCAAGCCTGGGTCTCCTGACCTTTCACGCTGTGCTTCCTGCATTAGGAAAAGCAACCTCTGGGGAGTAGCAGGGAAGAAAGGAGGGGGAGAGTCCGGGTGTGTCCCAGACACCATCTGAAAGGAATGAATTTACAAGCTATTGAACATGCCTAAATCTCTGTTTATTGAAGAAGAGCTTTTGGGAGATAATCTTCAGGTCTTCTTCTAATTGTAAAGTTCTAGTTATTTGAAAAACAACAAATACAAATGCCTATGGGAACAGGCAAATAATACCAATGAATTAAATGGGCCTCTGGAGACAATGGAAAACTAGGGGCACGACCCCTCAGGAAAGAGATACTGACCTCCAGTTGGTTGTCAGGGGCACAGTAAAAGGGATGTGGAACCTTAGAAGGCCCTGGTTGCCAGTCTATGGCCCCTCACTTCAAATCCTGTGGGAGTGAGGCCACAAACACATCACATTGTCTCTAGGTACTGTACCAGCTTGGGCCTCCCCTGAATCACATGCTGAGAACTGGATTCAGTGCAGGTCGGTTACTGGGGACAAGCAGGAAACACAAGTAGTGAAATGGGGACGCCTAACAGGGTAGGGAAGGCAGTCAGTCACGAGTTAGTTACCAGGCAAGTTACCACTGTGGGAACCAGAGCTTAATCCGCTGAGGCGGTGTGCAGACTGTGGAGGACAGGTGCCTCAGAGCTATTCCACCCAAGGGCAAGAGTGCTGGGGTATTTACACACCGACTCCCATCACTGGTTTCCAGGCTGATCCTGGGAGTGTGGATGTGAATTCCCTAGAATTTCTAGCCCGCCTTGTACCAGAAGAGCAGACTACAGTGGCCAGAGAAAGGCCCCAGGCAGAGAGATGCCAGTGGTGGCATTTGGAGGTGGAGCAAGTGAGTGCTGAAATAGGAAATCCTGTGAAGACACACATGGGGCACGCACAGTATCCGCTATGGTCCTAATCACCCTCATCGCACCACCTCCGTTACTGCTGTGTGTGAATTCAGACACAGTGTTGTCAGATACTTTGATTTTTTTTTCAAGGAAGATAGGAATCTGAAATTTTATGTGATCTCCTCCAATTCTTAAGTTGTGGCAATCAATTTACATTTTAAAAAAAGACCATAAAGATCACTTATGTGTTCCTTTTCTTTTCTTTTTTTTTTTTTTTTGAGGAAGATTAGCCCTGAGCTAACTATTGCCAGTCCTCCTCATTTTGCTGAGGAAGACTGGCCCTGAGCTAACATCCATGCCCATCTTCCTCCACTTTATATGTGGGACACCTACCACAGCATGGCGTGCCAAGCAGTGCCAGGTCCACACCTGGGATCTGAACTTGTGAACCCTACACTGCCGAGAGGCAGAACCTGCGAACTTAACTGCTGTGCCACCGGTCGGCCCCTGTGTGTCCCTTTTCAATAGATGCACTGGGCTTAAGAAGTCATGGGTTTGAATTCCACTCCAGTCAATAAATTTGATAAAAGTTAATCACTCATTGTCTAGTGGCCCCTAAGTATCATCTCTCAAATGCAAGCTCCAGGCTGAGAAAAGATCGTGGATGAATTTACTCAACTGTTAATTGCAAGGGTGGGGAGTGGTGGGGTGGGAGGGAGGACTGCCTTCTCTCTGAGCATCGACCTTGTACCTGGTTTACTTCTGATGGTTTTATACAAATTCTTCATGTAATTCTTGTAACCACTCTATGACATGCTATTTATTTTCCCTTTCAAACCCCGAACATCACAGTCCTCCTGCTTAAGACAAATTAGTGACTTACTAGATATTATTTCTGCCTTGGACATTAGAGAACGATTCACTCTCAGTTGATAGCAAATAATCTCCCTTCTAATCTTTGAAGGGTCCAGAAAGGATTTATCCTCTTAACCCTGAGCAATTCACTGTCTTTTTATTTTTTATTCTGAAATAATTATAGGTTCATAGGAGGTTGCAAAGAAATGTGCACCCAGTCCTCCCTGATGTTAGCATCTTACAAAACAATAAGATATTCTGTACCTTATATAACACCAAGAAACTGACATTGGTACAGTCCATAGAGCTTATTCAGATTCAACTGCCAACTAAGAATTGTGAGCAAATAAAAGGTGGTTGTTTTAGGCCACAAAATGTAGAGTGATTTGTTATGTAGCAAAAGCTAACTGATACATACACCCATACTCTCTTTTTAAAAAAATTTCAGCCAAAGCCAGCCCTGATGGCCTAGTGGTTAAAGTTCGGTGCTCTTATCGCTTTAGCAGCCCAGGTTCAGTTCCTGGTCACGGAACAATACCACTCGTCAGCAGCCATGCTGTGGTGGTGGCTCACAAATAAAAACTAGAAAGACTTACAACTAGAATGTATGGCTATGTACTGGGGCTTTGGGGAGGGGAAAAAAAAAAGCAAGATTGGTAACAGATGTTAGCTCAGGATGAATCTTTCCCAGGCGTAAAAAAAAAAATTTCAGCCAGACTAATGCAAAAAGCAGGACTTAAAACTGCCCATGAATTATAATCCCAAATTTGCAAATTATATGTACATATGCATGGAAATATGGGAAAAATAAGAAATGGGATTAAGACTGATCTTTATTTTATCCTTTATACTTTTCTGAATTTTCCACAATAAAATTGACAATCTTTTTAAAACAAAAGAAGAAAAGCCAAAGCATTTGGGCAGTTTCTTCTGGTTGCCCTCTGATCATTCCTGGGCATATTCTGATGTGACATGAATGTTTTCCATATGGCTGAGGTTGCTAGGTTGTAAAAGACAAGAGCATCAAAGGGGAAGCTGGCTTCATTCATCCCAGGGCTATTACCTCTGGTGGGAGTTTCAGGGAGGTCAAAATGACCTAAATAGTGAAAATCTATGCCTGGAAACTTTTCCATCTAACTATGTCTTCCTCGGAATGTCAACTCTTTGTTTCCTTGGCTGTTGTATTCTATGTTCTTTTGTACCCTGGTGTGGCTGATGAGTTTCAACAGAATCTCATAAGCAGGTTGCAGCAAAGGGAAATCAAGAAATCTGGGCCTGGAGATATGCTAGTGTGATGGATAGCTTCTGTTTGTCCTTCAGATCTATTCTCCTCCCTTCTCTGGGCCCTGGAAGGCCAACCTGTATTGACTGCATCAATGGCTTCTGATTGGGTTCAGCCAATGGGAAGCACCAATAGGAGGACATTGGAAGGTCCAAGGAGCAGAATGAGGTGGGAGTATTTATGCCCCCAGCTCCCGTCCTGCAGGTTCACTGTGGTCTAGCTTCCGCTAAAGACCAGAACTCCTGCCAAGCAACCCTCTTCACACAACAATCTCTATGTCCAGATTCCCAGTAACTAGTTCTGTGCCGTACCTCTTCAGCCATGGGGCATAAGAGTGGTGCTCCATTCTAGAATACTGCTCTAATCCTCATGCACAGTTCCTTATGACTCTTCTACATCTGCCCACACCTTTATGAAACTCTCCTCAAATTACCCACTGGAGTTTGTCATCTGTTTCCTGCAAGGACACTGAGAGATACTGCAGACATGCACAGTCAAATGAATAGGGTGGACACAACCCTAGAAAAGTCATTTTCTCTCCTCCAACAAAAATACGAACGTGGCAGGAAAAGAAAAGAAAAGAAATTTCCATAGTTTCTATTCCTTCCCACTCGTTATTAAGGTAGAAAATTATCCATCAAATTCAGGTCACAGATAACTCTGACTAAGAGGATGACACAGAGGATGGTAATTTCCTTTTTGTAAGCCTTCTGGGAAGGGCAGTGGGTGACTTGCAAGTAAGAAAAATTAGAATTATGAGAAAGTGTTCTTAGAAGGATAATACCCAAGACAGACTTAGTGACAAGGTAAAGTGTGGAGAGGCCAATGTGAAAATCTTACCCGGCCATCGCTCGTCAGCAGGATGGAGTCACTCTTTATGTCCCTGTGAATCACTCCTTGATTGTGAAGGTAGGAGAGAGCTCTCAGAACCGACAGACAGACGGTAGCTATCTGTTCTTCATTCATTCTAGAAAGGAAATAACATTTAAGGAGCAAGGACAGGATTAAGAATATCTTTGAAATGATGGAGAGAGGCAGCTCCCTTTGGTAGTAGTGAACCAGTCCATGCTCTCCAGCCAGTGTCTGGAAAATCTACAGGCAACGAGAAGGCAATCTTTGGGATCTGATTCATGGAACCTAAGGCTTGGGACTTAGGATGACAGGGGCCACATATAAGCAAAAGCAAAGAGACCCCATTTGCTGGCTTTTGGATCACTGATGCAATGCCCTTTCTTGGACTCTTATAGTTAATTCCTTAGGTATTGCCAAACCGCCAGGGTCCTAGAGAGAACACTCTGAATAGAGCCAAAGTTCCAGGGGTCCTTGAGCAAGTCCTTTAACTTCCTTGGGTCTCATTTTCCTCATTTTGGAAAGGGGACAGCCACAGTTCTCTTCAAGGTTAGACTCAGGGATCTTTAAGACACCCCTAAGACTTACCCTGCCTCTCACTAGGCCTCCCTCTTGCTTTTTCAGGAGTTGGGAGTTCCTGTTGCTCCAAGTCCCTCTGTCAGAAGGAAACTGTACCTAGGAAGTTACTAATAATTAAGCATGAATGGATCATATTTTAATAAATGGACCATGGGAATGAGGAAGGCAAGTACAGCACTGGACATGGGCTCCCACATTTCATGGCTGCACCTCTCTGAAGAAGATACTTCTGGTTTCAGCGGAAGAGATTGAGGTCAGGTGACCTGCCCAAGTTTAGACAGCTAAGAAAGCGACCAGATCATGATTCAAACCCCACCCCTTTTGAGTTCAGAACTCATGCTTTTCCACTTTCCCCCTACATCACAATGCCATCGCAACTCAAAAGAATGCATTTTCTAATGAGTAAAATAGTTCAGCCATTGAGGGATCTAGGTGAGAATTATTTGAACAGCAGGGGGCTGCTCACTATCCTCAAAATGACCCATTTAGGCATTTGCCTAACTCATCTAGGTATACTACTTCCTCCCTCTCACAGAGCTATTGTGAGGCCCAAATTAGACAGCAAATGTGAACGCGCTCTGAAAACAAACTATCACGCAAACAGAGGAGACTGTCAGGAGAAACAGAAGGGGTAACCGACCAGAGCCCAAATTTAAGGACTGACCAGGAAACTCCAGTAATCCCAGATGAACCTTTACTCAGCAGAACAAGGAAATGAATGGCCTTGAATTTGTGTTTGTCTTGTTGATGCCAGCAAACTCCGACTAAGTGAGACTAAGATTCAAGGCAAAATCCAAGGAGATAGCCAATTAGGAGAACGTTGAAGGCAGAAAGCTGATAAGTATGAAGAAACATGCTCTCCTCTTTGAAGAGGTTTCCTACAGCAATGAATTGGCCCCATACAAAGGCAGGTGAGAAGAAACATTCTTGTCTGAAACAGAGTGGAAATCTACAACCTCTGTGTTCTTGCTTTTGTGGCTTACATGTTAAACAATTAATAAAAATATGTCCAAGGGAGGGGCTTTTTTCTTGCCCTAGGGAGCCCCTCCCTTGGACATATTTTTATTAATTGTTTAACATGTAAGCCACATTTGCCTTATTCTTAGGTCTCTTCAGTACAGTTGTTTCTACACATTGAGATGATCTTACGTATTTTTGGGGTGGGCATGTGTGATGGCTACACCAATAGGAGTCTGCCAGCTGAAACGATGGTGATGTCTTCCGTGTCTTCCCTCACGCCCTTTTGTTTGAGATGGTGTACTACAGACTCAGAGCTGCAGAGGGTCATGATTGAAACTTTGCCTCATTTTAGTGGAGAAACAGCAGCATATTCTGTCCCTCACGGGGTTTCCCAACACTTTCTTGCTACCTTGCTTTCTGTACTGTACTTCGTCTAGAGTCACTTACGATTTGGGGCCCATTTCAGTGACATCAGCTAATATCCAATGCCTCTTCTTCATGACAATCCTCTCTTAACTCTTCTGCATTTTATTTACCAGCAAGACCAAAGTTTCCCAAATGTAACAAGCCTTTTTACATGTTTGTTCCTTAGAACGTTGCTCCCCCAAATGTGGTTCCATGAACCTATAGCACTGGCATTGTCTGGGACCTTGTCAGAATGCAGAGTAGTATCAGTATTTGAATCAGAATCTGCATTTTAATAAAACCTAGAGGTAATTTGTATGCATATTAAAATTTGAGAAGCACTGTCTTAGCATATACTCTGTCTTCTGCCTTCAATGGCTTTTCCTCCCACTTGTCTTCTTAGTAAACTCCTATGCATCTCTCAAAACTCATCTCAGATATCATCTTATACTGGAAATCTTTCTTGGCTCTCCCTGATGGAGACATTCAGGTATTCTTCTAAGCTACTTATATACATCTCATTCTGTACAGGCACTATCATGTATTTATTTCTAATCTGTGATTTTCTTGAGGGAATGTACCTGAGCCTTATTCATTTGTAAGACATGAATTATTCATGTAAGACATGTCTCCCCAGTGCTTAGGAAAGAGCCTGGTACATAAAAGGTGATCTATAAACACTTCATGATTTTATTTTATTTATTTATTTTTTGATTTTATTTATTTTTTTCCTTTTACTCCCCAAAGCCCCCCAGTACGTAGTTGCATATTCTTTGTTGTGGGTCCTGCTAGTTGTGGCATGTGGGACGCTGCCTCAGCGTGGCTTGATGAGCAGTGCCATGTCCGCGCCCAGGATTTGAACCAACGAAACACTGGGCTGCCTGCAGTGGAGCACGAGAACTTAACCACTCGGCCACGGGGCCAGCCCTTATAAACACTTTATGAATGACCACAACTGATATATCAGGGAAGCATGTAGCCAAGGCTACTGGCTAGTAATTAACCATTGTTGCTTGTAACACTATTTTAAAACAGAATTGAATTCCTCTTTCCTATGTAGGTTCATTATTATGACATAAAACTTTGGTCCTCCACCTGCCGCTCCCTCCCCCAGGTACCCTTGGTGTACACAGCAACGACATGACAACTCAGGAGAATGAAACTCAGTTTTAGAAATCTATGTAGGGAGGGGAAATTCTATCATTTGTCACTGAAACTTCATTCTCAGCAGCCTGCTGATTTAAAATCAATGGGTATTAATGAACATCTTGAGGGCAGGGAGAATGTTGAATGAATGAACTATACATACATGATATTATACTACGCACTTGGGAGATACAAAGGAAGAGGACAATCATGTTCCCTGACTTCAAAGTGCTTACTATTTAGGAGGAGTTCATAAAGATAGTCATTGAGGCCTCACCCTGTAGGAGAATAATGAGTACCTTTATTTGTCTGGATAGCAAAGAAACTTACCTGGTATGAGTAACGATGTCTGTCAAGGCACCGCCTTCTAGAAACTCCATGACCACCCAGAGCTCATCACTGACAAGGTAGCTGTTGTACATGTCAACCACATTGTCATGGTGGTAATCCCGCATTATCACAACCTGGGCAAAGGGAAAGATACTTTTTGACTTGTGACAGTGAAATTTAGCTTTTTGTTCTCTTGTGCTCACACCTATGCCTTGAATACACCTGATTGAGGGAGGGAGATTTTTTCAGGAATTTACTATAGAGAAAAAGACGGCACTGAGAGTAGTTAGTAGATATAAAAGGAATTAAGTTAACAAATTCGGGAGGAAATGGCAGGTCAACCAGACATTGGAGAAGAAGAGAGGGTGGGCAGGGGAGAATAAGACGTGAAAACAGGCAGAACCATGGCAAGGTCTGCATTCACAAGAGGGAGCTGAGTTGACTGTTCTGGGCGGTTATGATAGCTATCCCTGGGGGTCTCCTTTAGAATGGCACCATCCATAGTCTACTGGTGGTTAACCTGGCAAAAGGGTCATCAACTCACGGTGAGTGAACAGTGAGTCTCACAAATAAATGAAGTAAACAGTTAGTAAGGGTGGGGCCACATGAGATCAGCTTAACTTCTTGGGAGAAGGTCCGGGTTGGTCTGAGAGGGGTTTGGGCTGAATACAAAGGATAAGTATTGAAGGTAAAAACAAATTTGACTTAAGCATAAAAAGGCTAACTTGAGAATGCTTACCGGAGAGAACTTCCAGAAATTGCTGCCCTGTGGCTGCTTCTGGTGACATTTCCAGAATCAGTGTTAAATAATAAATTACAGAATTGCTTATCTAAATTATATTTGCCCTGTCTATTCTGGCATTGTGATTCAGAAATAAGTTCCAGAAATCAGGAATCGTGGACTGGGAAGAAGCTGAAGCCCACTCAACTGGTGCTCTCTGTGAGGTTTAGAGCATGGGAAAGAAATGAACACCTGTGGGAACTGGAGATGGGCAGAGCCACTGGTGGCTTCACATGAGTCACCATAGAAGAGGGTCCAAAGTCATAGCTGATGGCATTTTTTACAGTATGCGTCTACTGCTCTGAGAATTAGGAGATGTGGGGGGTACAGCCTTTGCTAGAGACTGACATATTATCTAACACTGGAAGTTTGACTTGATATCTTCAAGACACAGATTTCTCATCCACAAAAGCTCATCTCTTTCCCCAAGACCTTCTAGACACATTAAAGGGATATTGCTCCAAAATGTTTCGTGTTCTAGACACAGGTACTCATGTCTTTCCGCCAATGTGCATTTTAGAGTTCTCAAGTAATAAGCAAATTCAAAAGCAAAATGAGAGAGTGGAAAAATATGTGCAACAAATATATAAGTAAGGGTTAATTCCTTAATATATTAAGAGCTCTTAAAAATCAATAAGACAAAGGCTACTACCCTAACTGAAAACTGTGCAAAGGCCATATAACTTGATGAAGAAATATAAATGGCCTATAAACATTTAAAAATAAATTCAGCTTCACTAGTAATAACAGTGTTAATTAAAGCAGAAAGATTTAGTCATGTTTATCAGATTAACAGATAATGTGATATATCCAATGCTAGTGAGGGTGAAACAGGACTATGGGTAGGGTCCAAATTGGTGCAAACTTTCTGGAAATCAACACTATACATCATTTCTCTAAGTAGAAAAAATATAGAAAGGAAATACAGAAATATTAATGTAGGCTATATCTTGATGGTGGGATTATGGGGCATTTTCTGTATTTTCATATTTTCTACACAAAGAACTTACTGCTTCTATAGTCAGGAAAAATATTTTAAAGTCCCTAAAGAGTGATTCAGCCCATTAGTAAACTACTTCTGTTTATTGTGATAAAAAATTGGCTGCAAAGAATATACACAATAACACAGCAGTGTAAAATGTGTATATGTACAGAGAGTGTAGCATGAGGGTTTGGAATCTGTTAGAATTCAAACCCCAGCTCTGCCATCAACCTGCTGTATGACCCTGGGCTAGTCACTTAAGTTACCTGAGTTCAGGTTTCCTTGTTGCTATGGCGATAACATCTTTCTGTCTCATAGAGTTGTCGTGAGAACGAAACCAGATCGATGCTTAGCACAGAAGCTGAGACATATGAAGCACTTCACAAAGGTAGCAGACATACACACACAGGCAAAGACCAGAAGGATGGATTATGGAGCACGCTATTTTTGTATTTATATTTTCAGTGCTTTCTAATGTCCTAAAATGTACATGTACTAATTTTGAAATGGGAAATAAATATTACACAGGCGCGAAGGGATGATCCAATCACATCACTTACCTCATTGAAGAGCAGTTCTCGTCTCTGTTGCTTTCGGAGGTCCATTTTCTTCACTGCAACTTGTTTCCCTGTGTGTTTCTCGGTTGCGATGCACACAATGCCGGTTGACCCTTCTCCGATTTTGATAAAGTTGTCCAAGTATTCCCTAGGGTCTCCTGGGCTGACCACCAGCTGCAGAGCAGCCCGAAACTGTTCGTGGGACACCCTGGAGGGCTGCTGGTCTGAGGAGGAGCCCCAGCTGGGTGGGGGGTAGGTGCTGGATGAGATGCTGAGAGAGCTCAGGTAAGAAGCTGTGGAGATGTACTGCGAACTGGTCTGCAGGGAGGGGTGGTGGTACAGGGTGGCTTTGTGGTACCCAGATGGGTACTGGTGGCTGCTTGAGGAATAGCCAGCTTTGCTTTGACTTTGAGGTAGTTTGGCGGGGACCCTGGGGTAGGTGTCAGACCCTGACAGTGGAGGGCTGAGGACCATCTGTGCTCGATCGTAATCCACCTGGGAAGACAGACATGGATGGAGAATATTCACATATTCACCTGCTACATCTGAACGCCACAGCCAGTTACTGAGCCAACCCGCAGCTGGTCTGAGCGAACAGCATCATTGCACAACCTGGTTGTGGGTGAGGCTTACTTTGCAAGAAGCCTGGTTGCCTCAGCTCCCACCCTTTATCACCATCCAACCTCCCTATCCAGCCTCTTTCTTCCCCTTTCCCTACCAAAATCCCCAGAAGCAGCCTCTGAGACCTGAATTTGAATTAAGTAAGCAAGCAGTGGGAGGTGATCCCAGAAGCTATGAAGGGGGACAGGAAAGAGGAAACTGCTAATAAAGGGTGAGTTGCAAGTACGATGGTTAACTTTATGTGTTAACTTGGCTAGGCTATGGCAGCCAGTTGCTTGCTCAAAAACCAGTCTAGATATTACTGCAAAGGTATTTTTTAGATTTGATTAACATTTAAATCAGTAGACTTTGCATAAAGCAGATTATCCTCCGTGATGTGATGTGGGTGCGCTACATTCAATTGTTGAAGGCTCTAAGAGAAAAGATTGAGCTCACCCAAAGAGGAGGGACTTTTGCCTCTAGATTTCCCTTGGACTCAAGAATACATCAACTCCTGCTGCAATTTCCAGCCTACTGACCAGCCCTGCATAGTTCGGACTTGCCAGACCCCACCATTGTATGCGCCAATCCCTTCAAATCTCTCCCTGTACACACACACACCCTATTGCTTCTGTTTCTCTGGTGAACCTTCACGAACATACACAGCAAGTTACCACGAAGCAACTGGAACTTAATCTGCTGGGGAACTCTGAACCCTGAGACTATGCAGAGCATGTGACTTGGAATTGTCCCATGTGAGGGGCAGAGAGTTGGGGTATTTATGCACCAGCTCCCTTCAAATGTTGTTTAACGTCTGCTCCTATGGCTATTAATTCCCTGGCACTTCTGGCCTGCTGTGTCCTGGGCTGAGCAGGCTCCAGTGGCTTGAGAAGGCTCTTAGACCAGAATTTCTCAATCTTGGCATTGTCGATGTTTGGGGCCAGATAATTCTCTGCTGTGGGGCACTGTCCTCCTGTGTGTTGTAGGATGTTTAGCAGCATCCCTGGACTCTACCTGCTAGATGCAGCCCCTCCTCCGAGTTATGAGCAACCAAACGTCTTGAGATATTGCCAAATGTCCCTAGGATATGGACAAAATCGCCCTTGGTTGAGAACCCCTGCTTTAGACAAAGGAAAGCAGTGTTGGCAGATGGAAACAGAAGGTGGTGAAGGGATGTGGCCAGGGCACCAACATTATCTACTACATCTAGGAAAGGGCCTCCTTCTACTCACAGGCACCACAGTGGGGGGAGTGGTGGTGGGTTCCAGTTAGAGTGTGCCTTATCCACAGTGTATTTGCTGTTTATGCCCTATTTTCTTTTTCAGGAATGAAAGACACCATTCCTCATTAAAGGATGCTAGTCTTCAGGGAGCATTTCAGGGGTAGGAGGCCTTTTCCCATGTGTCTGAACTCACATACGTGTGGTTTGTACCACCCAGGCATATAATTTAGCAGATCTGTGTAAAAGGGAAAACATGGCTCCCAGTGCTAAGCAGCTTTTCAGGATGGACGATGAGGTAACCACATGCTCACCAAGTAAGTACAAATAATAATCAACAGTAACCAAAATTTGTAGGGGTGTGTGTGTGTGTGTGTGTGTGTGTGTGCATGTGATAGAGAGAGACAGAGAGAAAGAGAGAGGAAGGGAAACTTGGTCAGCCCTCACAGGGATTCTAGAAAAGAACACTTTACTCTGATTATGAAGAGGGGATTGAGGGAACTAGTGGAAGAGAACAAGGAAGGCAGACAGAGCAGGGGTAGGGGAAGCCAGTGAGGGGCTTATGGGACACTAGGTGTGGGTTTCAGCAATCACTGCCTGGAAGGGATCAGGAAGGAGCTCCGGCTGCCCTTGGAAACACTGAGGTCAGGGATGGTGAACATACCACATAATAGCATGTTCGCTTCCTTGCGCTGGGCAGAAAGTGCTAATCCATCAACACACTGTTGTGTGTAAGATCATCATGGTAACACAGTGCTGTGTACATATAAGATGCTCGAAAAGATTTTCTGATTGGACATCAGGCTCCTTCTTAACACAGCAACCTGGGAAGTTTCTACCACTCTACCAGCATGTACATGGAATGACATTTACGTGCCTCACCTCCATCTACCCTAAGGATCTAGATCTGCTCTAATATGATGGCTACTGGCCACATGTGGCTATTCAGTTAAACTCAATAAAAGTTAAAATTAAAATAAAATACTCAGCTCCTCAGTCATATTAGTCACATTTTAACTATTTAATAGTCACCACATCAGACAGCACAGATATAGAACATTTCCACCATCACAGAATGTTTTATCCAGCAGCACTGTTCTAGATGAATCCATTGCTCCCACATGGTGCATTCATTCATTAATTCATTCATTCCACAAATTAACATTTGAGCAATGATTATGTGTTAGGCACCATTTCAGGTGCTGTGGGAATGTCCAACAATAATCACAATGGATGGTATTTCTGCCTTCCTAGAGTTTACATTCTAGAGAAGGAGTGAGATGGTAAACTAGAAAACCAATAAATATACAGTATGTGGTCCAGAAGCAATAAGTGACACGAAGAAAAATAAAGCAGAGCAAGAGGGTTGAGAGTAACGTGGTGCCACCTTGGATGGGATAGCTAAGGTAGGCCTCTCTGGGAGGTGTCATTCAAGTGGAAACCTGGCTAAAGTAAGGGAGCAAGCCCTGTGACTGTATGGGGAGGAGCGGTCCAGGCAGAGTGCACAGTGCACAGCACACACAGGATTCTGAGGCACATACAGGCTTGAGGAAGAGCATGGAGCCTCCTCTGGAGCAGAGCTGGACACAGTTTGCAAAGATGGACAGAGAAGTAGCCAGGAGGCAGATTATGTGGACCATGGCAAGGACGTCAGATGTTGCTCTGAGTGACGTGGGAGCCACTGGACATTGCTGAGCAGAGAGGAGTGACACGATCTAACTCTCTAGCTCTTGGAAAAGAGACTTTGGTGACAAGAGTAGAAACAGGGCTGCCGGCTGGCTTACTGCAGTCAACGTGGGCAGAGATTAGGGTGGATGCTGAAGATGAGGTAGGAAATGGTGGGACCTAGGGTAGGGTCAGCGGTCAAGCTGACAGGATTTCCTGATGGATTGGATTAGAATTTGAAAGAGACAAATCAGAGATGATTCTTAGGGTTTTGGCTTGAGCAACAGGTCATTTAATGATGTGAAGAGCACAGGGGCAGGAACAGGCTTGTGGGGTGTGGTAATCAGCCTCAAAGATGGCTGCCAATGACCCCTGCCTCCTGACATTCAGATCCTTGTGTAGTTTCCTCCTATATGGTATCAGGTTGATCTGTGTGAGCAAAAGAGTACAGTGCAAGCGACAGTAAGTGCCTTCTGAGGCCAACAAGGACATCGTGGCTTATCTTCTCTCTTGGATCACTCATGCTTGTTCTCTCAAGCTGCTATGTTGTGAGAACATTCAAGAATCCTATACAGAGATCCAAGTGGCAAGGCCTCCAGCCAAAAGCCAGCTAGAAACTGAGGCCTTCCGCCAACAGCCACGTGAGCCATCTTGGAGGTGATCCTTCTGGCCCAGTCAAGCCTTCAGAAGACTGTAGCCCTGGCTGGCATCTTGACGGCAACCTCATGAGAGACTCAAGGCCAGAATCACCCAGCTGAGCTAGCGGAGACATGACCCACAGAAACTGTGTGAGGTAATAAATGTTTATGGTTGTTTTAAGCCAGTAAGTTTTAGGATAATTTGTTACACAGAAATAGAAAACTAATGCATGGGGGAAAACCAAGAGTTCTGTTATGGCTATGTTAAGTTTTAGAGTTATTAAGTATCCATGTGGAGATGTGGCCTAGGCAACTTAGACATGCCTCCAGTTCAGGGAAGAGTTGAGGCTAAAGACATGAACCTGAGAGTCATCCATCAGTATTTAGTTGGTATTAAGAGCCATGATGTTGAATGTGTAAGAGAAGGTCCCACCTTTAGAGACCAGAAAGAGCAGGAGGATCTTGCAAAAAGGAGCCAAGAAGGAACAACAGTGACATACAAAAGAAACTAAGGGACTAGTGTGTCCTGGAGCCAAGGGAAGAAAGTATCTCAAGAAGGAAGGAGTAATGAACCATGTCAAATGCCACTGAGAAGTGAAGTAGGATGAGGCATGTTGCTCATTGGATCTGGCAACATGGTGGTCATCTGGAAGAAGGCAGGTGTCTGAAGCTCTGGCCCCATCATGTAGCATGAATAGATGCCTAACCCACAAGCCTGGGGGAAAGATCTGCACGGAGCGGGCTCCTTAAAATTGCTACCATGGCACCATTCTCAATTCTTCTGCCCTATTTGTTGGCTCCCAGATGGTGGTGCTGATGCTGCACAGCCAGCAATGCAGCCCTTCCCAGCCTTGAGAACACTACACTCTAATCAGGGGAGTTCACCACTCAGACAGCCTCACAGCAGCCAGCAGGGACCAGGCTACTGCTAAGCCAGGGCCCTGGTTGTAGAACAGAGAAAACACGAATTCTGATTCTGATGGCTTTAGCGAAATCACTTAGCCTCTCTGAACCTGTTTCTTTATCTGTAAAGTAGGGACCATAATACCTCCTTCACAGCACTTTTATGAGGCTTAACTGTGGCAACCTAGAGCAACCTAGTGTTTAAGAAAACACACTCTGGGCTCAAAAGTTTTTTCTGTCATTTACAAGTTGTGTGACGCTAGGCAAGTTATTTAAAGTCCCTGTGCTTCAGTTTTCTCATCTGTAAAATGGGAGTAATAATAACAATACCTACCCACTTCCTTAGGTCATCGGGAATTTTAAAGGATTGAATATACATTAAAGGATTCGAACAGTGACCAGCCAATACATTCTAGGTGGTGGTTTTATGATAAACTGCTTAGCACATTAGTGAGAATGTAAAAGAAACA